AATGCACGGATGATTTTCCATGATATTTGAAGTACGACCTTTTAAGGAAGCCAGTCTTGTTTCTCTTTTCTTCTCTGCATCCCTGAAAGAACGTTCGCACCTGCATGATGAAGATGGTAACGAAAGGTCACTAATCTAGGATGAAGAATAGTACACTTCAGCGTTGTGGGAGAGCTTTGCTTTAACTTGAAAGTAGCTGAAATGCAAAGCATCATCTAAACACAATTGCTGATTTCTGAAGTAGAGTGTAGCTTTGCTTTACAAAAGTCTTCTTAGTAAATATTAGTCAATACTTAATAAATATTAGCTGTAATGCAATCAGGTAAATAATTTTTGAAAAAGTGAAGACATTTTACTAAATGTAGCTTAAGTAAACAATTCATATATTTCTACGTTTATTGGAAACTATTAAATATAAGGGACTTTAAGCTTCTAAAAACCATAATTTTGATATTAACTTATTTAAGTGTAGCTGTTCATTCTAAATACAAAAACATTTAAAAGCATCAATATACCATTGTTGTATCTGGACAATGCATTCTTATTAAATGAAAAATCTATTTTCATCCATTCAGTTGGTTTGTGGAATTGGAAAGGACAATTTCTTATCTCATTTCTTTAAGACATAAATATGCACAGCATTCAATTTGAATTTTACTGATCGATATCTTATAATTTTTTTTTTTCCAGTACCGGGAATCGAACTCACGACCTTGTGCTTGCCAGGCAGGCGCTGTGCTGCTGAGCTAAATCCCCAGCAATACCTTATAATTTCTAAAAACAATAAGCAATTAACTATTGTATTGATGTTTTAAATTATTTATTTATTTGCATATGTGTCAGAGACAGGATCTTGTTGTATTGACCAGGCTGGCCTTGAACTCCTGAGGTCAAGTGATCCTTCTGCCCCAGCCCCTGGAGTCCTAGGACTAGAGGTGTGCACTGCCACACTCAGCCTGTACTGAAGTTTTTAAAAAGAAGAGTGGAAGTCTACTTGAACTGTATGATATTGCAAGATTCTATGGTACCATGAATAATATATATTAATAAGCTAATGTACATAAAATAAGTAGCATAGCTTCTTTTCATTTGCTGGTCACTCCGTAAACAGACAACAAAAGGATATAAAGATATCAAACACCTAGGACTAGAGGTGTTTCAAAAACTCGCCGTGTTTCAGATCTAGAAAGGTAATGTAGTCCATATATTGTTTTTATTTGACATCCCCTGAGGACTCCACATTCTATAATCAAACGTATTGGTGCATCTGCAGTAGATCATACAATTTTTACTTTTAACAGGAAAAAGACAGACTGTATAAATAACCCCACTGCATTTCATGTGTGACTTTTATCATTAAATGTGGCTATTTTAATCTTTTAAAAACTCTGATTTTTTCAAAGGTTTTTAAATTTTGGAATTACAGATAAGGGTTGAAAACTGGAAATATACAGTTGCACAGTTGGACTAAGAGGACGAAGGGTGAATGCAGAATTTGGAAATAGAAAAAACTAGCCCAGCAGGGTGGTGCACGCCTGTAGTCTCAGAAACTGGGAGGCTGAAGCACGAGGATTGCCACCAGTTTGAGGCCAGCTGGGGCTATGTAAGTGAGTTTGAGTGCAGTCTGAACTACATAGCAAGATCCTGTCTCAAAAACAAAAATAAAAACCAAAACAAACCAAAAAACAAACCCAATAATCATTTAGCTGAAGAAGTCTCACCTGACAAGGTAACACACTTAAACTTGAAATAAACATTTTGTAAAATGTGCAGAAAAGTCAGTGGGGCTCGGATAGAAAGGCTTTAGCATCGGAGTAGATTCTCCTTCGCGTAAGTAGGAGATGCAAGTCTATCAGCTTCGGTTCTAAGTCCTCTCACGTGACCCTTCTGTGTTCACTCTGTGTTCATTCTCTCGGTCATCACATACGTCTAGAAGTCATGTACGTCGTACCCTTGACGTAATTAAGCCCAGACTGTACGTCTGAGACACATACACCTACCTACACCTTCATATTCCCTCCTGAACATCTTCAAGGCACCAAAAACGCCAGAAGTTAAAGTTGAATTTATGATCCCTGTTCCTCAGACTGCAGTCTTCTCCATGAAGGACTCTGTTGCCCATCTAGATACTTAAGCTGGGAACCCTGGCACCAATCCTTTTATAAACATCTTTTCAGTCCAGGTACTTGTGTCTGCATGACCACCCTACTAACCTCAGGGGTGAAGGGACCCTTTCTTTGTGCTTGAAATCCCTTTTACCTCTGAAAAATTCATCCGACTTCTGTTGCATCTCCCTTGCGAGAATGAAACTGGGAGGCATTTCCATACCTAAACGCTTTGCGGGAGCTGATCCCGCTAGAGTAAGCTATAAGCTCTTGGCTCTGGCCACACTACCTCCTTCCAGTGCATTTTCTCCAACCTCGCATGTGAAGCCTTGCTTTTCCCTGTGTTCTTCTTACCCTCAGCCCTGTGCTGGGGAAAGCATGCCTTCACCTTTGCCTGGATAGTACCTGTTTCCCATGTGCTCATGGCCATCTTTAACTCTCCTTCCTATCACTGATAGCGCTTGAAAACCCATAGCCACTTGTGTGGCTGTTTGATTAAAATCTCTCTTCTCCTTCCATAAGCTCCTTGAGGACAGGGTCCATATTGCACTTGGCTGACCACTGTTTCCTTCCCGAATGCCTGCCGTACACAGGCATGTATGCTTTTGAAATAGTACTGGGGATGGAGTTTTATTTAAATGACTCGTTCATATTTTATCTAAGTCTTTCTGCTTGATTTCATGACAGTCTTTTACTTTCATAAGACGTCATATTCTATTACAATTATAGGTTTAAGTGCTGATCCTTTCTAATAGATGGCGAACGCTGGGCATGGTGTGCTACGTCTGCTTTGTTACTCTGGCACCTCTAAAGCTGTTATGGTACAATAGAGCCTGGTGTACAACAGGCACTGAAAAATACGTACAGAAATAATGAATGAGAAATTTATGATCAGTGTCAATTATATTCTAAAGTAAATGTAGATTCAGTTTTCTGAGCATTTCATACCGTCTTAATTTGGCCTTTGATGAGACAGTTCACTGCAGGGTCTGTGGTGGTTGGGTTGTTTTGAAGCCGATACAAGGCAGTCTCCGAAGTGACTTCTTGTGATACTTAGAATTGAACACAGGGAAACTATCACTAAGCTGCATCCCCAATCTTATTTATTTATTTATTTATCTATCAACTTATTTGTTTATTAGTTATTATTTTTGCAATACTGGGGCTAGAACGCAGGACCTTCACACTGGGCTACATACTCAACCCTTTTAAAGAAAAATTTTTTAAAAAAATTTTGAGACAAGGTCATTTTCAGCCACTGAGGTGGCCTGAGTTGGACTTGCTCTTGTGATCCTCTTGCCTCAGTGTCCCTAGTGGCTGAGATTAGTGGCACGCAGCACTACACCTAGCTGCTGATGTGATTTTTGATTAATGTTTACTGTTCCACAATTTTCAAATGCACATACTCTTAAAAAACAGGTCAGACTAAGTAAGCAGCAGTTATTGTTGGTATTTGTTCTATTTTTTTAAAGAAGGAGAAGCTGAAAGAGTAAATAAGGTCTAAAATATACAAAAGATATTGTGAAATGGGAAGAAATTGTTAAAAAGGTAAAAGGAACTAGGATGGAGAAAGGGGAAGGGAAAGAACGGAAAAGAGAGAGAAATGCAGCTTAGTGATACTATTAGTGTCTCTTAGTTCATAGAAAAGGAAGGTTTGTGCTTACATCTACTGGAGAGTTTTTTATGCCCATACCTTGTACTCTGCCTGAGTAACTACTTTAAAGATAACGGTATGCAATGTACCAACTATTGCTATTTTCCTATCATATTGTTGTGAAATTTTATTTTATCTTTTTTCATAAAAAGAATAAGATAACGAAATGTCAGTTTTATGGAGAAACTTATGTGGATGAGACAAATGAAGAGACACATAAATGGAGCTAGATGGAGCTATATGCGAAGCTAGAATTATAAGCTCCTATTGAGCACAAGAATTTTGCTGCTAGAACGCTAGTGAATTAGGAAAATTGCTTAATAACGTTCATGTCTTTCTAAACTCTTTGAAGACTGGGTCTCTCCTCAACGACACACCACTAGAATTATCCAAATTCAGATGAGTGGGAGTGAAGGAATATGTTCAATCACATTTTATATTATTATCCATTAAACGGCTGTGGATTATATAATACTCAACAGAAATATGCCGACAGTTATTCACAAAGCTGGGTAAAACTTTTGATGAACTGAGTCTTACTTTAGCTCCGAGTTATATCTCAATCAGACAAGCTAGACTGTATAATTTTAGGTGTAGTCAAGATGAGATTTATGGGTATTTCACATCCACAGACTGCTGTGAGGAGAGTGAGATTTGCAGAAATGAGTTATTAATCTTTACTGTAGAACATTAACAAATGTCATGTGGATTTTATAAGTTGCTACCTAGGAGGTAGTAGATTCATAAGCCCCCAAAATAGATTTCCCCTTACATACCTCTGCTCTCTGGAACATAATTAATAGTTACCTATTACTCATTTGTGAAGTTCAAACTTTTTACTTCACTTATTAAATTAAAACTTAGTATAAAATTAACAAAATTTAATAAGGGCTGTCATATTGTAGTGAGTTGGGTTGTCTCGCTTTTTGGGTATATATATGTGTGTATACACTCAGGCATATGTGTATTTGGGGAAGACGCATGAGAATTTATTATCACCAAGTAATATATTTAAAATAGATCAATTTCTAGCTCATGATATTTTTCATCCCTATTCATACTAGTAATCTAAAAAGGCTTATTTGGTAGATGTGCATGGCTGCTTCTTTAATTAGCTAGGCTAGACCAAATAATACTTATAAAAAGCGTTGTTGAGGTAATTGCTTGTGTGATGTTTACTGTCACTTCTTAGTTTTGAGTTTCTGAAACCAGTAACCAGAGGCTGATTCATCTCCTCCCAGGTTCTCTGCTCTCAGTTTAAATAAGTGGTCTCCAGGTGTATGGTGACATGAGACCTCGTGGCCCGGCTTTCTGGTGAGGAATAACTTTCCCTCGTGACTGGCTTTAGCAAGAAGCAAATGCTCATTAAATGTTTGCTCAGGAATGTGGAAAGAATTATCTAAGAGCTTTTATCATTATCTTATACCTTCTCTAGAAAAAGATAACATTTTAAAGAGGCTAAAATTGTAAAGTCTACCTAAATATATCTTATAAGTGAATTTTATATATATGAATTGTATGTGGCATAGTGCCTGCCTGGCAAGCGCAAGGTCCTGAGTTTGATTCCCAGTAGCCCCCCCCAAAAAAGTTATCACTTAAAAACACTTATTTTGTATGTATAGCAAATTGAAGGAGGTATGATACCAGTAAATGGTCTTAGACTATAAAATCTTGTGTTGGTGGAGTCTTTCAAAATTTTTGGTAGAACTGCCATTGTTTCTTAATTTTTCTTGGTAGACTGTAACCTCTCTACTTGGTAAGACCTAAAACTCATATGAACTACGTTGATAGATTTCAGTGTGGAGCACTGGGAAGTAACCCGGGGGAATGAATGCATTTATTTATGAGAAAAATTTGACTGCTAGGTGGGAAAAGAGATTTCCTCCAGCCGGCAACGGTTGGCTGACCTGCATTGCTCCACAGTTCTACCTACCAGAGATTTTATTTATTTTTTGATTTTTTTTATTTTAAAAAATAAAAGAAGGAGAACATATTAACAGACAGACATCCATTTACAAAACAGCATAAGAACAATACAAACAAAACAGAGTTACAAAGTTGTAGGAAATTAACCATGGTTGTTATATTACTTATTGATATCTTCAAAGTGATTTCTCAGGAAAACAAATAGAGACATACAAGAGTGATCAAACAAGTAATCATTAACTGTGCCTTTCTGTAGAGGAATAGAAGTCAGTAGCACAACTATGTCAGCTATCATGTATATACATACTTACATAATTTCCCCTTCTTTCTTTTCTCTTTTCCCACACCCCAGTTGCCCTTTACTTTTGAGCCTTTTCCTTTCGTTTTGCAATGTCTGTCATACCTCCTAGTTTTTATTCACTCTTTCAGGTCTTGCAGTAGTGAGACAGTATGATGTTTACACATGCAGGCCTACCAGAGATTTTAATTCTAGATGCAAATAAATAATTTCCTAGCCTTTGGTAATCTTAATTCATTTCCAACTAAATCACTGATGATTTGTGGGTTCAAACCCTTCTATGACTAATCTAAAATCTAGGATCTTAAGTCAGTACCACAGACCCAAAAGTCATCTTTTGTGTTGTTTTGACTGCTATTATCACATGATACTACCTGATTCTTTCTATGCTTGAGGTTGTTTTCCCATGAATTCCAATCAATTCCCTCAGCAATCAGAATTTCTACACTGATTCTGCTCAAAACAGAAATAGAAAAGGGAAAAAGTTGATGTCACAAATGAATGCACATATTTTGTTTTTGATTATGATTCCTTAATGATTATATTTCCTACAACTTATAAATGGTGTTCTCCTTCCTGACCACCTCTTCTCATCAGCTCATTTTCTGACATGTACACAACTCTGACTTTTCTTACTTTTCTTTACTCATTAAGCATATCACCCTGGCTATCTTATAAGTGAATTTTTATTTTTTAGAGAGCTTTTAGATTCACTTCGTTTCGTGGGGCACTTTTAGGCTCACGGCGAAGTTGAACATAGTATTAGGACTCATATGCTCTGCCCCCACATATGCCTGCTTCCCTTCCTGACAGCACCTCCTGCCAGAGTGGTGTGTCTGTGGGAATTCATGAGTCTCCAGGAACATCACTTTGCTACCCCCCGTCTTTAGTTTACGTTAAGAGTTCATCTGGTTTTGGATCGTCTACGGATTTGAAAAAGTGTATAATAACGTGTATGAACCAGTTGGAGAATACACAAGTTCCTTTGCTCTGAAAATCCAGTCCTATGGGTTCAATTTATTCATTGTTCCCCCCCTCAACCCATGGTAGGTCTTTTTATTGTCATTTCAGTTTTCCCTGTCATACCTCAGAGGATGTAGCCTTTTCAGATTGGTTTTTCGCAGTTGGTAACGTGCATTTACATTTCTTCCATGCTTTCTCCTGGCTTGCTAGTCAGTTTCTTTTTAGTGTGGAAAAAGGCTCCCTTATATGTACGACTTTAGTTAATTTATTCATTCACTTACCAGGAAAGATGTCTAGACTGCTTCAAAGTTTGGCAGTTATGAATAAACTGCTTTATAAATATACATATGCAGGTTACTGAGAGGTTGTATTTTCAATTTATTTGGGTAAATAAAGGTGCAATTGCTACATTTTATGGTAAGAGTATGATGTTTTCTTAAAAACCTCAAAACTATCTTCCAGATGGCTGTACTATCTTTAATTTCTACCAGCAATGAGTGAGACCTCCTATTTCTTCATATCCTTGTCAGACTTTGGTGATGTCTGTGTTCTAGATTCTGGCCACTCTAGGACCAATAAAATGGGTCTTTTATTGTTGTTTCAATTTGCATTTTTATTATATGAGGTAGAGCATTTTTTCATATGCTTATTAGGTAACTATATGTGTTCTTTGCTGAGATGCCTGGTGAGGTCTCAGGGCCATTTTTTTAGTTAGGTTGTTTGTCTTTTCATTGTTGAATCTTGAAAGTTCTTTAAATAGTGCTTCCTCAGCTATGTCTTGGAAATACTTTCTCCTGACTTGTGGACTGTCTTTTAATTTTCTTGACAGAGTCTTTTGCAGAATGGAAACTTCTAACTTTAATGAAATCATGTTTATTAAACTTTTCACTGTTGTATCTAAAAAGTTGGCACCATTCCCAAGGTCATCTAGATTTTTTTGTATGTTGTTTCCTAGGGGTTTCATAGTTTCAATTTTACATACAGGTCTATGATTTATTTTAATTTTGTTTTGCGTTTCTGAGAATAAAACTCAGCACTTGCACATGTTAAGCATACACTCTAGGGCTGGGGATATAGCTCAGCGGCACAGTGCCTGCCTGGCACTGCGATGGTTGTCTTCCCAAGCTTTCTCTCTTCCGAGCCAGCACTGCTTACTCTTTCCAGCTTTCCTCAGATGATCCCTGTTCCTGGCTTGTCCAAACTTCTGGGGCCTCCAATACACCTTTGGCTTTGCAATCAGAGCTTTACAAGCAGCCCTCTTAGGAGCACACTACCTGGCCTCCCTTATCTTCTTCTGTAATCTTGGTGGAAGTCTTTCTGACCCCACAACTCTTGCATTTTGTATCCACCTAAAACCAGCACCCTGTGGATGATGCCAAGGTCTGCTGCTAGCTGGTGCAGTAGCCAGGCTTCCTTCTCTCGTGGCTGTAGGGGTTGAGTGCCTGGATAGCTGACCACTACCAAAGGCTGCCATCTTTTGAGAAAATGGTGCTCTGTGGGTCTTTTCTCTTTTTTTTTTTTTCAAAGTGGCTTCTAAAGAAAATAAATAGAGCTATACATGAGTGACCTATTGAATAATCATTAACTATTTTCAATGGTTGTTATAGGAAACACATAATAATAAACATGGATCCATTTATGAAATAAGATAGGAACAATACAAACATTACAGAGTTATGGACAGATTAGCAGGAAAATATCCGTGGCTGCTGTAATACATGGTGGTATCTTCAAAGTGGTTTCTCAGGAAGACAGAGATATGCAAGAGGATCTAACAAGTAGTTACAGCCTAAGGGCTGTCAAAAATAGGGGATTTGTGGGTCTCTTCTCATAACACAGTCTTTTACCTTTGCAAAGTTGAGGCTGCAAAAGCCGCAGTCCTGTTGTTTCTTGTGATGTCATCAGGCCACCTTTTTCACTGTCTTACTCCTCTTCAGCAACAAAGTTCTCCTCTATCTTTGCAGTCCACAGCTTTACTGGAACTTCCTTTCTGGCCAGACTCAAAACATTTTAAATTATTCTGCTGGGCTTTGTGTTCTTGATTCTCAACATAGATCTGGCTAAAAGCCCCCAACAGTAGCCATGCCACTGCCTCAAAATTGGATTGTCTTGAAATTTCTTTTGTGGGATTAATTAGCCCACTGTCCCTAATATCAGTCTCAGGTAAAGTCTTTGGACAAAAGCAAATGTAGACAAACTTCCTACCAATGCATAACGCACATCATCTGGAATCCAACAGCCAATGCAGTCCTTTTTCCCAGTAGAAACCTCCTGAGCCTGGTCTCCACAGGCAGCATTTTTCCAGCCTTCTGGTCTTCTGAGCTCTGACCAAACTCACCCACCAAGGACAGCTGAAGGTATTTCCAGGCTGAGCCTTCAGCCAGCCTCTGCAGACCTTTCCAAACTCTTCCCACAAGCCAGTTCCAAAGGTTCCTGCACCACATGGTCAGGTATAGTCCCAGCAATGACCCCACTTCTCTGATACCAAAATCTGTCTTAGTTACTCTTTTTATTGCTGAGACAAACTACTCAATACCCAAAGTAAAGGATGAAAGGTTGATTTTGGTTCTCAGGTTGTAGAGGTTTCAGTTCATAGTTGGCTGGCTGCAAGGCTGGGTGGTGTGGCAGAGGGACAACCCGGCAGAAAAACAATTCACAACCCACAGAAGGCAGGAGGGCCACAAAGCAATGAAATAGCAAGAAAGCAGCAGCCCTCTTTCTGTCTCTTATGTCTATCCAGGCTACATGCTCTTAAGGCGGGCAGCACTCACACTCGGGATAGGCCTTCCCATTCTGCACACTCAGAACTCTGCCAAACCAGTCAGTGGTCACACACCCTTGATCTCCACAGCATCAGGCACTCTTGACCCACACACTTCTGAAAAGCCTCACCTATGACTGCATGAGGCTTTGGGGAGACATCCAGATAGAAGCCCTAACCCAACATTTCTCTTCATTTCAACGGTCTTAATCTCTTTGACAGTCAGATAGACAAATCACAGTCGCTGGCTGCTGTGGCATTCTAGGCAAAAAGCTGCCCCTCTTGTGAATTTACAGGCTCTCCACAGTCACCCTAGTATTCGTACACTGCGTTCTCCCGCCCCATCTTTTCATTCATTAATTGCACGTAGATGTACACATATTTTGAAGTGTCTGCTTCGTGTCATTCTCTTGGCTGTGTACATGAAGTGCAGCAGCGGAGCAGTCAGCAGGATAAATACCATCGCTCCTCCTCAGGCGCTCACTCTTCCCCTCCTTGTCCAGACTGTCAGAAGACTAAAGCCATCCGGGGGTAAACGCTATTGTTACCCTTCTTATGCTTTTTGTTTATTGCTCAGTGCCCAGACTTCCACAGTCAAAAAAAAAAATGTTTCTTAGATAAGCAAATCAACACACACTAGACACCTATAATTTGATCTACTTCGTTCCACAAAATATTGGGACATTCGTGAAAAGGAAATCCAACGGATATTTTTATGTTTTTATAACTCAGGCAATTTAACATATTTTAAAATTGGCTGCATATGGCGTGACTGATGTTTCACACTGAGTTGTTTCATTGTTCTGAAGTCAGTTATGGTTGGGAAGTCAGATTTTCTGAGTAATAGTGTAATCACATCTCATTGAACCTTCCTATGCGCTGTGAAACTATTAGTCTCTTCTTCTTAATATACAGATACTGTATAGATGTGGCATAAGACACATCCATAAAAGTCCTAGCTTTTGCTGGCTAAGACTGTAGTTTTGGAGAAATAGCCAATATTTTAGGTAGAATTATAGTTGGTCCCAATTCATATTTTATTTAATCTCTATGTAGAGTTTCCTGAAGAGAAGATGGTAGTGTTTCTTTGAAAACAGAAAAATACTCTATGTGATTTCTTTTGTATAACTAAGATTTACAGCTATTTTTTCAACTTCTTGTCTTTTCATTTTGATCCTTCCATTTGAGATTTTCTTGCAACACCTAGTTTTTTTTTTTTTTTTTTACTTTGTTAAATTTAAATTTTTTTGGCAGCATATGTTTCCAGTACATAGTGATTACATTTCTTACAGGGAGTCGGCACATCTGCATGACACACCTTCATTCTTCTCTTCACCTCCTTCACCTCCTCCTATCCCCTATAGCTTCATCTCTTACTCCCCTTCCTGCATGACAAAGATCTCTGTTCCCACATCTTTTCATCTATCCTTTATTTTGTTCTGCTTCTATTTTGAGGGTTCCATGTCAGACGCCATGCGATATTTAAGCTCATGTTTCTCTTCCAATATGTTTCATATACATAGAAATAAATATTGAAGTGCTTACAAAGGCAGGCTATGGACTCCAGTTCTATCTCTCACTAGCTGAATGTTGATAGGCATGACACTTAACTTTCTAAATCTCTATTTCTTTGTCTGTGTAGTGCAGTAGGGTCTAATGATATCTATCTGAAGTTTATAACAAGGAATAAACTGAGTAATATACACAAATTGACTAGCAAAATGTCTCTCACCTGTTGCTTATTATTACTCTAGTTGCTGTTAGTGATGGCTGGTAGATTGTATGCTCCTAGAACCCTAGGATCACATCTCCAACTGCTCTTGTACTTTTGAATAAACAAAAGAATATGTGCTCCAATAAATGCTTTTAGAATCATGGATGAAAATTGAAGAATAGATTAGTTAATAAATGTTGTAAATTCTGATTCAATAACCTTTTCTTAGGACAAGAAGTATTTTCCTTTTGTTAGAATACAACCTTCTTGAGCATTCAGTTTCATAGTGTGAAAAATTATTTAGATTTATACAACTGAAAATGTTCCTTATAATGTAGATTTTGTAAATATATATAGATTAAGAGGTATTAACTTAAAACTGTTGGACAATATAAATAGCTACCTTTAAAAATTTGCCATTGGCATTTTAATGAAATGTTATTTTACAACTTCAAAGCTCATAGCAATATAATTAGTAATATGTATAATCTTTATTACCAATCTTAATCTTTTTTATATGACTCAAAAATTATTTTATGGTAGTACAATTAAAATAATGCTAAAAATGTCAGTCTAACAGAATTAAACTAAAGTAACTACTACAATATTGTATCCCAAACCAGCTAATTTAAATGCAAAATACTTTGTAAAGGCTATTTATCTGGGCTAATGCATGTTAAGGGATTTAAGGAGTAGTTTGTATAACTGAAATAAAAAGAAAAATAAGCACTGTACAGCAATTTTTGCTATTGTTTAACATGAGGGAAATATTAAATAGGTTTATATATAGGCCACTTGAGGAAAATGTATTAGAAGCGACATCATAGCATAGTAAATGTAAAGGCAACTGGCAGGCAATACTGTATTCACAGGCTTTTAAAAGGGAAAGCTTGAGTTGCTGAAAATTTTCCTTTTATAAATAATATAATAAAAATTGGGGCTGGGAATTTAGCTCAGCGGCAAAAAGCGCCTGCCTGGCAAGCGCAAGGTCGTGAGTTCGGTTCCCGGTACCGGAGAAAAACAAAAAAAAAACAAAACAAAAAAAAAAAAATTATGATAACTGCACTGAAGACACCTACAATTTTAACAATATGCTTTGTAAAGGATATTTCAAAAGGCAGGACAGTTTTTTTTGCATATGACAGTGGTTAGATATTTTTCTAAGTGTTTGTATCTGTCAGTTCATAATTACAACTCTACCATTTATTATTTTATAGCTTGTAATATGGAAAGGTTTCCAAATAAGATTTTCACAGGAATTCCCTCAGTGTACAAACTTCAGAAGTACAGAAAGGTAGAAAAGCTTACCGAAATTTTCAGTACGCCTAGAGTATCGCACCGGATCTTTGTATATACATTTCTAGTTCTCTCGGTTTTGCTCCCTCATGGACAATTTTTCCTTTTCCTTAATGGGAAGTTTTTGTTATAGTGCATAGAGTATTTTGTATAGTTATAAAAGAACACAAGAATACATATTATATAAAAATAATTTATAATAGGGAATCAAGTACATTTGTCACTGGGTGGGGTTAGCTCTTCCATTTTTAGACCTTCAAAGTATTGTAGCTTTTATATTTATTCCTAATGGCTAGAGGTAATCATTTAAAAAACTGATTAGCACTAAAGTTATTTTAGCAGTTTAAATTGCTTCTTACAAACCACAGTCCATTAAAATTGTATGTTGACTTAGGACACAATAATAGACCACAGGTCTCTGAAAGACTAGTTCTCACTGTGTGTTTACTCACGGCTCAAGTCCTGGAAGGAGAGCTCTGATTCATTAGATCGTGTTCAATGTTGTATGCATTTGGTTTGATTCTGTAGGTCCCAGCACATCTGGAAAGTCCTGCAAGGCCTCAGCCTCAGAAGGTCCAGAGAAAGCAAGTACATTCCTTCATGACTCTTGATCACCAAATCGTCAATCAGACTCTTAAGCAGTCACACCCTACCACATCAAGCTGCGGTCTTCTGGCACAGCATGGATGCACCAGCCCTAACAGTGGTGCGGGCCTCACAGGAAATTCACTCACCAAGTTACTAGCTGTCGGGAAGGATGGCCAATCGGAATGGCATGTATGTCTCACGGCATTGTGAACACTTTATTGTCAGCTTTTGAGGAAAAAACATGGTGAAAGAAATTGAAATCAATACTCACAGTAAGCATTTCAAATGCAAATTAATTTAACACAAGAAGTGTGTTTTTAAATAATTAACCTGTGATCATTAATTATAGACAATTATTATGCATAACAAATTATAGCAATTCATTTTTACTCATTTCAATTAAGTACCAATAAGGGCCAAAATAATCACTTACAGTAATGTGTTTAGAAGATTTAACTCATTGTAAAAGTTTTCTAAGTAACCTTAGTGAAAATATTTATTAATAGTTACATTATCTTGAATTACTACTAAAATAAAGCCAGCAGAAATGGCAGTAAATTTGTGCTTTAAGCTTGTTTATTAGAATAAGACTAATGACCCTGTTATACTTAATATTTTACTGGATTTCATCTGTAATTTTTACTTTTAATTTTCAATACTTTAGCTTCCATTCTCAACAATTTTTTGTCCATCATTTGCTAAATAATAAGAATTTCATAGTACTGAGGATATGGAATAAACAAGAATGTCTAGCTTTGTGGAATTTGTTCATAGTGATTTGCTTTTAAATGAATTTTCAAAAACGGCTGAAGAATAAATAGAACTGAAAACAATGAGAACTTTGAAAAAGACTTTAAATATCTCCATGTAGAAAACTGCAGCAAAAAAGGGACTTCCTTTTTTATTCTCTTTAATTATTACTTTTGTCGTTGTTGCTGTTACAGTTGTTATGGGACATTAGAGAACTTGGTCTAATGTTTTCATGTACTGGATTCTACATCATTTGGCCACTGGCATTTGGATAACTCTCTGTACATAGCAACCAACATATGTTAAAATGAAAACAGTAGAAAGCCATCTCTCTACATGTTCAGTTTGTAGGCTCTGGGATGAGATATTTTGAGACCCACTGTATGTAGATAGTGATTTCCAAGGGGGTGGTCCATGGTATTTTGCCAAAGGGTCACCTATTAGTTGATGGATCCAAATGCAAGGAAAAACAGCAAATGTGTGTCAGAGCAACATAAATATTCTAGGCAGACATGTATCTTCAATTTAAACAGTCTAAAAACTTTTAGAGATTGTTAGAATTCTCTGTGACTTCGTTTAGCGCTTCTCATTTTATCATTATGAACAATATTCTAAATGTGTCGTGTTTTGCTAGATGGAGGATGCTATTGAGGAAGTGATCGGTATGGAATCGAGTTTTAAAGAGGGAGGAACAGACTGTCCCGTGCCGACGGAAAGAACAGTAAGTGTTTCTGTACCCAAGGAAGTCAGTGAGTTGAAATAAATGGTGGATGCTGCTGATCAAAACGTAAATTTCATTTGATTAGCAAAGGGTGCTTTATTCTGCAAGTTTGAAAGAGATACAAAGTAATGGATGAATATTAGAAAATATTTGTTGGCACAAATAAGAGTGTAATATTCTTGAGGAAGCTTATAAAGCTTATAACATTTTCTCTCTCTGAGTCTTTGTATATCTGTCTCTGCATCTGTCTATTCTCTGTACACATGCACCTAATTATATATTTAATCTGCTCTATTATTTTTGGCGAGCAATTTAATCTTCAAATTTCCTATTTGAAGCACGGTATGTAATCAGATACCTTCATGAGGTCATAACTTAATTTTGAGTATTTTACCATGACTAATATCTGTGACACTCACCTTTGTGGAGGACCGAAAAAGATCACAACAATAAAACATACAAATTTGCTTCTGAGCCAATAATGAGAAATTAAAAATGAAGTATGAAATGGGTAGAGCAGTTCTCACCCTGATTTAAAGTATGGAAAAACACTCCTGTGTTGAAATCAGTACAAATTCCAGGAAAAATATTCAAAGAGGTAATGGTATCTTATCTCCTACTGCGTTGCTATTGCTTGCTCATGGTTCATTTATTAATCAGAAAAAATGCTCTCAGTAAAGACCGCATAAGAACTTCTCACACATGCTATTGTTGGTTTCTTTTGTGTTAAGAGAATGTAAGAAAAAAATATGGAAGATTTTAATTGAATTGTTATTTTTAAAGATTTCATGTAAAGAATGTGAGGGAATATATTTTGTAACCTGAAAAGTAGACATTTTGTGATTTCAACTTTTATTTTTTAATTTTAATTTTTACTGGTACATGTTCACAATACGTAATGACTACAGCCATCATCGGGAGGGTTACATGCACATAACATACCTGTTAGTGTGGACTATGTTCTAATGAATGGACTATGTGTGGACTATGTTCTAATGAATGATTTAAGGTTAGGCCTTAAGGAGCACTTTGAAGCTGGGGTATAGCTCAGTGGTAGAGTTCTTGCCTAGCTGTGCTAGGTTCCAAGCACTGCAACAAATGAAACTAAGCAAAAAATATTTTTTGAAATCATCCCTTTTCCTTTATTAATTCCTAGACAATTTAATAAGAAAAGTTCCTTTTCTTCCCTGTTTTGCGCTATATATAACTTCACATATAATAAGTCACTAATTCTATTATCAAAATGAAGATAAGGTTTAAGACCTAGTTTTCATTGCAGGATTTGTTTAGCACAGAATGACAACTCATTCTACTTTCCTCTCTTCAGATTTTAAGTAGCACAGCTACAAGAAAGCTAACTCCTTCTTGAGATAGATATATTATTAATGCTAACTTCTCCCTGTCTAATTTCACAGCATGAGAATACTATTTTCTTCACTAGTCTTCAAGTTCTATGTTTGAGGAAATGAGATTAATTTCCTGCAATAATCTCTCCCTTGCAAGTGGTACTTACTTCACTGAAATTATGTATTGAAGCATGTTTGTCAAATAATTCGTTTGGTAAAGGATATGTAGAGTGGCTCACTCAGCATAATTGGTGATAATGACTGGGGTATCTGCTTTTGATACACAGCAGGTACTTCTACAAGGATGACTACCCCGGCCCATCTATATTGGTATTGTAAATAATCTGGTATTAGTCCATGAGCAATCATTGATAAGGCTCAATGTATACTTTAAACAATACAATTAACTGAATATTAATGGAATACTTATGAAAAGCATAGTGTGTTATGTCTGAATATCTCTCCCAAAGCCTCGTGTGCTGACAGCCAGAGCTTGTGGGAAGTGTTTGGGACTGTGCACGAGCTATGGCCTGTTTGGTCCTTGTGACGTGAAAAGTTTTCTTCCACGGGTCCTTCCCTCTTCCCTTTTTGGCTTGGAGCTGTCTATCTGCTAGAGTAGAACTTGCTCAGTAGCTTTGCTTCACCAGTTGGATGTGTTTTTGCTTTGGCGCCTTCCCCTTTGCTGTAGCAGAGTAGCTGTCACAACTAATGATCTATAGCAAGTCCCATCACCTGTTTCCTGGGTCCCACTTAGTTCTTCATTAAGTAATGTGCTGTGTCAATATGCAGCTATATCGATACTCAGGACATGATCAAAATTGGTTATTATTATTACTTTTTTGAGACAGGGTCTTGCTATGAAGTTCAGACTGGGCTTGAACTCACTCTGTAGTTCAGGATGGCCTCAGACTTGAAGCAGTCCGCCTGCCTCTGCCTCCCAAGTGCTGGGATTACAGTGCGTCACCACTCCTGGTTGGTTGATAGACACTCTGCCAAAAACAACGGGATAAGTGAAGGAGTATTTTGAGGGAGATTAATGGCAAAATGTCTTTTACTATAATGAATTATTTATCTAAACATTTACTGTATCTTTTGATCACTTTGCATTGGTGAAACATGGTGATTTCTATCGAATGAAAACATTACAATGTGTCCTCGTCTACCATATTCCCGGATCTTGCACCCTTAACTTCTGGCTCTTCCCCAAAGTAAAAAAATGACTGTTAAAGATGAATGTTTTGAATGGACTCGGGACATCAAGGCAGCCACAACAGTGGAACTAAGGACACAAAAGAGGACTTCCAGAATTGTTTCGGCAAGTGGCCAGGGTGATCAGCTAAGTGCAAACTGTTGGGGAGTATTTTGAGGGAAGATTAATGGCAATATGTCTTTAACTGCATTAAAATATTAAAATTCAAATATTCACCATATTTTTTTATTATACCATGTACACTGATCATTGCATTATAAATATCAGCATTACACTAGGCTTTAGCAACACCTCGTGAAAATCAAGCCAGACCAAACATCTCCCTTTGAACACATTCTCTGTCTGACTATCCTGTTATTTCCTGACTCTACCCGTAAAACTTACTGCTTCCATTTTCTTCCACCGACACCTTCTCACCTCGATTCTCTCTTGTTCAGTAGAGATTTTGTCCTCATCATTCCAGTAGGGCTTTTATAACTAGCTAGTGCAAAACACAGTAAATCTCCATTCTCATTTTTCTTCCGGTACCAGGAATCGAACTCACGACCTTGCGCTTGCCAGGCAGGCGCTGTGCCGCTGAGCTAAATCCCCAGCCCCTAAATCTCCATTCTCATCTGTGGCACCTGACTTGGCTGACTGATCCTTCCTTCTTGGTGAGCTCTCTAGGATCCTACAGTTTTATACTTATTTCACCAGTTCTTTCTCCCCTTGTGCACATTTAAATGTAGAACATTCCAGGGCTTGTTCTTTGTCTTTTTTTTTCCTTATATACGTAAACATAGAGTATGCTAACCCAAGCCCAGCCCTTGCTGACCCCACAATCCTACTGCTAACTTGATGCATTTTGTGATCTAAGAGACATCACAAACTTAACATGGATAAAAAGAATCTTTTGCTTCTCCTATAAAATCTATTTTAAAACACTGGAACCAATACAAAACAGCAAAGAAAAACCCAATGATAACAAACAAACAAGCTAAACCAAACCAAACCAAAACAAAAAATCACTTTTCATCTCCTCTCTCTTACTTCCGCATCCATATCAGTCACCATCTGAAATTTCAGAATCTCACTGCTTCTGACCATCTCCTCTCCCAAAAAAGTAGACTATTTGTTCATTGTTTTATTCTTAGCACCTAACACATAGGTGCTCAGCAAATGCATATAAAATATATTATTCTATAGCTCACACATAATATTGAAAATTAGTGATCACTTCAAAATATCTATTTAGGAATACCTTTAATGGATAAAATGCAGTAGCAACTAGACAAGAAAAACAAAACAATAATAGCTACCAAACATTGTGTATGTACTGTGTGACAAATATTTTGTAAGAACAGTTTTCATGAAAAAATGCATTTAATCTCACAACACTATGAGGTAGAGGCCTATTATTATTTTATAAATGAGGAAGGAGGCTTAGAGAGATTGAGTAATTTGCTCAAGTTCCTACTTTAATGAGCGGCAGAGCAGAGGGCTCGAATCTAGTCCTATATGAAGCCGGACACAAGGACCCTATCCACCCCGCTGTGCCAGCAGATGTAGGAAGGCAGCTACTTCGTAGAGCTATGGAATTTCTCAGTTTGAGAGGACCTGGGACAGACCGATTCTCTGCCACACTTGGGCTGAATGACTGTCTAGCTTCTAAGTTGAGATCTGTCTTTCTGTAATTTCCACTCCTTGATCTTGCTTTTCACCCCTTTCTTTCAGAGACATGGTGGTGGATAGTAACTCATTTCTTTTAGCACATAGAGGTACTTTTCAATCAGGTGTCTGCAAATGCTGGTGGCATTTGGCAATCTCAGTAAACTGTGATAGTTCAAGACTATTCCAGAGACGAGGACTGAGTAAATATTAACAACCCCCCGAGCTTGGTTGGAACTTGAAAGGACTATACAACATCAATGGGCAAGTTTCTGTCAATCACAGGCTAGACCAGATTAGTCTTAAAGTCCAAGAAAGAACCAAAGTTCACCTTAGTGAAGAAATTTCTGCACACTTCTCTCTGTTCGTTTTTGCAAGTTTAAAGAAAAGAAAATGATGAAGGAGAAGGAGAAAACCATTGCTATTGTGAAGGTTATAGACCCTTCAAAGTTTAAACTGGTGAGCGAGTACATTTTGGAATTCTTTCTGTGTTTGAAGATGAAACCACCTTAAATGCTGAATTTAAATTTTAAAAACTTATAGTCAGCACCATCAGGTATGCTGAAACTGTGCTTTGAAATGTGCAAAATACAATCTGCTGTATGATGAACTTATTTATTTAGAAGATTGTTTTCATTGCTCTGGGCTACAGTTAAAATTGCTAGTAAAATTATTTTAGTAAAAGATTACTTAAAAAGTTTTATTGTGACTTATGTAGTAAAAGGATTAGAGTTTCTATAATTATTTGCTATAGTATTTACGTTAAATTAACAACTAATGGAGTGCAAAAAATAGAC